TGGGAAAGTCATGCCCGATAGGTTTCCCCTGACGCAGCTCCCAACTGGGTGCAGATCTCTGCGGCCCAAGAATCCGCAAGACCGCGTCCGGTGGCCCCAGCCAAGTCAACTCACTGAGTGGGTTCCCTCTGGTCCTCAGATCTAGAACACCAGAGCTAGGCTGTGCCAGGCGAAGGTGCTGGCAGCGGAAGCGCACAGATTCGGGGGACAAACAGCCCCCAGGACACTTAGAACAATTTTTAAAAAATTGACTGCTGACAGGCTGAGGGAGTTTGTTTTAGTGCTGAATACCCCGGGAACAAAATCCTTTTGAAAGGAAAGCTAAGTCGTTTCACGCCACCAAAGTGCAGATTTGGTGAAGAATGACTGATGGGACAAAGCGGCGCGGTAAGTTAGCGCGGGTTCCCAGAGAGCGCGGACAACGTGGGTAAATGCGGAGGCGGCCCGGAAAGGTAGGGCCCGCCAGAGGAGGCCCTAAAACCAAAAATCCATGCTGCGCACGCCCGAAGACCTTCCCCCACCTGCACACTTCATGCCCGTTTGGTAGAGAAGATGGAAAAAGTAGAGGGGAGAGGAAAAAAACCATAAAGCAAAGAGAAGTGAAGGGCAGGGGTGCAGTAAGAAAGGAGGAGGGGAGAGAGACGAGGGTGGGGTGGGGTGGGGGACTGAAGAAGGAGGGAACGACTCTGAGGGAGAAAGGAGGAAGAGAGGGGGCAAAGTAAGGCACAGCCCCCAAACGCTCCAGGCAGCCGGGAGTTCGCTTTCCAAGTCGGGAAGGCGGGTATTGTTTTTGGCGCCTAGGAAACCTTCGGAAGCGGCCGGGTACTTTCCCTCCACCTCCCATCGGTGTTTGGTAAATATTAACAAACCAGGGCGCGTTACTTTCTGGAGTGTGGACGGAGGGGCTGGCCCGGCTGGGGACAGTTTTCCTCTTCTAGAGCCCCCGCCCCCTAACCCCAGCCCCACCGTTCACGCACACATACACCTGCTTGACAACAGAAGGAATCAAAATCAATATTGTATTTGTCACCCCTCTGTCTCCTTTTTACTCCCTCAGCAGCCCGGGTGCCACTGAAGCGAATTGTGGATTTATGGACGGAAATTAGCATAAATTATTACGAAATCTGTAGCCGTGTGTGGTCCAGCTTGTGGGAAAAGAGGCTATTGCGAACTCTCCAAGCAGAAAGGTGGTCGGTGGTGGGCTCTGCGGCGGCGATGAATGGCTATTGCATGAAAGAGATTTCCATTTGGTTTGCACATGGGTATAATTGACTTATGTGTATTTTATACAGTTTTCCCAACAACTCCCTAAGCCTCAGAGTCGGATGTGCCCCCTCCCCAGAGCCTCTGTTTGCTTTGGGTTCTGTACAATAGACTCTGATGCACTTTTCAAGATTTCTGGAAAGTGCTCCTTCCCTCCTCTTCTTCATAATACCAGTCTTAAAACGCTGTAAATGGCATGCAAATCCCCTCCCCCTTCCCTCAGGCTCTTCAGTAGGATCTGAAATAGAATTTTGTAGTAAAGTACCTGTTTTAAATGTGCATCTCACAGTTCCTCACCCCACCAAGGCAAACTTGTGCTATTAGGTTCGATTTCCTTAATTAACCCTGGGCATGGGCAACATGCCTCACCTCCCATCCTCACCCTAGCCAAACTTTGAAGATTCCTTGGACACGAATTCCTCCTTGTACCCTCACATGTCTCAGACTTGGTGGTGACAACTTTCCCTGGGGAGATGGACAAAGATTTATTTTAACTTAGATTTTTTTTTAACCCAAACACTTCCACTCTTAGAATTTAGTTAATCTTCTGTTTACTCCAAGCAATGATTTCGACAGCCATACAAAGGCCCTTTGCAAGGCAACAAAATGCCAATTGTTAAAACAAGAAAACATTTCTCTCTCTCCCCATCCCCCACCCTCAACAAGCATGTGCACACACCCTGTAGAAAAAAGTCCTCCTGGCTGTCACTGGGGGAACAGAGATCTTTCACTCCTCTCCTTACATATCCCAAATCCAACCACTCTAATATTTTAATCTATGTTTCTATATATCAGTATGTACACTTTTGCTAAGAAAATCCTAAAAGATCCTTGGGGGCTTCCATGCTGGTACCTTTCCTTCCCAGGAGCACTCCTGTTTCTGCCACAGGAGCACCCTTAGTTTTGTACCTCCGAGGCCAGCTGCCTTCTGGAGCAGGAAAGCTGTGGACCAACGCCTTTCTGTCTTACTACTATTCTTTCATCAGGGTCCCTTAGGCTCCAGGTCTCCCCAGCTCCTCCTATCCCTGGACCCTCAAGCCAAACTGGGCCACTCCAAATAACACCCCAAAATGCCACACCTTGTTAGGAGCTAAAGTGCGCACAGCTCAGGCAAGTACCGCTGCCTTTGGCCAAAGCTCCGCAGCGGTTCCACCCGAATCCAACTGGTTTATCTGTGGAGGGTTTATCTGCCCTTCTCAAGCCATGCCCCCGTGCCCCCAGAGACAGGTCAGAGTCCCGCCTCCACCCCTCGAACCCACCTCCTCCTCCTGGTTATTTTTTCCGAATTAAGAAGGTGACATTATTCTTTTCTTCAAGCACTTCTGTTAATATTGAAAAACGTGTGCTTGCATCTCAAGCGAGGCAGCCCAGACTCGAGAGCCATTTCAATATTAATGAAATTGTTTAATCTCCTAAATTCATCGTGTTTAAGTTACGTTTTGGTGAGTTATTGACCACCTCTGAAACTGTGGTTAATGGAGGGGTGTGTGTGTGTGTGTGTATGCACGTGCGCTGAAAGATTTTCATGCTAACTCCAAACAGCTCCACTAATAATGCTCTAATATCACTAAAAGTGTCCAAACTTCACTCCCAGAACTCTCCCACCACCACCACTACCGTCACCTCCTCCTCCTCCTGGGGGGAGGGGGGAGAGAAAAAAAGTTCTCACATTTCCGGATTGAAGATGATTCAGTGTGAGCTGTAGGTACTGAGTTATTAACAACAAGGTAAAAGGAATTTCTTTTAAAAACCATAAAGGTCGGAGAAGTCTACTCCTTGACAACGTGCATGCAGGCGGGGTCGACTCACTATTTCATAGCAATATGATGATGCCGCCGCCGCCACTGCCACGGGTGCCCACGACAATGATGATAATAATAATGATAATAAGAATAATTCATTGAAGCTCCGGAGACTAATCCGAACTGAAGGGAGCCTATCGCTGGCACCAGGCAGAGGGACCCTAGGCACATCCCCGCGCTCTCCTTTCTCCCCAAAAGGAAAAGTCTCTGGTTCTTTTCGAGTCTAGAAGTTACTGCTGTTTTAGTGGGTCCGCAGGCAGCGTTTGCTGGGCTCTCTAAACTCTAAATATGTTCTGTCAACTGCGGAGTGGGGGGATGGAGAAGGGGAGAAAGTTCCGGCTGTAAAATGCAAACTTCCATGCAATGCCTAACTCCTAAAGTTTCCAGCCACCTGGGGGTAAGCTTGAGACCCTGCCGTTCATCTGGTGATAAAGTGTGTCAAACAAACTCAGGCCCTCCCCCAGCTCCACACACTGTCTGCCCGAACAGCCCCAGAGCCTTCATCCTGTGCCTAATTAAATTCCTAAAGGACTTTTAGAGTGAAGAACCTGCCTATTCGCCCAGACTTTTTTTTTTTTTAATTTGGCCAATACACTTACAAAATGGGCTTTTACAAGGGGCTGTCCGATTATATTTTTGTAAGTATTTTTTAAACCCCATCTCTTAAGGCTACACACTCACTGTGTAGAGCTATGGCAGCAGCCTAGGAAGGTCAAATCAAACTTTGACCTGCCTCTTGGAGGACTAAGGGGAAGGGTGTATTTTCATTATAATAACCCATGCAACCAGCCCCGTATTGCCAAGCGCAGGAAAAGGGTCTACTTCAGGGGAAGCCGTGCCTTAAGTTAGCTAACAATACAAACCCGATACAATGCAGAGGAAACAGAATACCCCAGCCAAGCAATTTCCATGTCAAACATCATCTGCGCGGCAGCTCGGTCTGTGAACGTGAGTGGTCGCCTGAATCCCTGCTCCGCGGCCGCCACCTCCTCATACCTCCACACCGCGCACCCTGGCCGGCGTCCCGCTCACCACCGGTGGCCGAGGCTCTTCCCCCTCGCCCAGTCTTGAGCTGGAAGTGATTCCTATTGGCCAAGGTGTCCATGTAAATAGGTGTGAAAGAAACCAGAGCTGGCCAGGCTCTCCCCTCTCGCTCAGTCCCCTCCCTCTGCAGCCCCCGCTCCCCCTCCTCTTCCTCCTCCTCCCAAGGCGATTGTCATATGATAGCTAAGAAGTGGCACATTAATGAAGCGCCGCTACAGGGGTCTTTTCTGCTCCTGTCACCGCTTAAAACTATCAGATGGTTCGAGGGAGGACATGGAGGCAGCCACCTAGCTCAGCGGAGCCGCGGAGCCCACAGCAGCGCCCTCCGGAGCCCCGAGGCCGCCGCTGCTGCTGTCTGCACCCGGACTCCGCAGCAGAGCTTGGCCGCCCGGGGATCTCACGGCCAGAAGCTCTGCGGACTGGTCGGCTCCCGGCGCTGCAGGGCTGAGCTGCGAAGCTCAGAGACGTGCGGAGCCCAGCCGAGACCGGACACTGCGCCCCAGCTGAGCACTAGGAGGGACCCGAGAGCTGCAGTGCCATCCCGGATGCGGATGCACAACTTGGAGCAACTTTAAGGTGAGCCCTCTGGTTGCATCCCTGCCCCAGTCCCCGCTCCAGGTCCAGCTTACTTCCAAGCTTCCCCTCGCGCCGCTCATCGGCTTCCCCTCCAGCGCCCCATGGCCGCACCCCACTCTGCACTCAAAGTTGCCAGCTAAAGGGCGCGGGCGCGGGCTCATCCCGCGCCGCAGCCCCTACCCACCAGGTCTGGTCTGTGGCTGACCTCTCGGTGTCTGTCTCTGCATCCATGCCCCCCCCCCATTATCTTCCCCCCGTCCAGATCCAAGAAGCCGCCGGCCCGCGCGGACCCAGAGCAAGAAGGGGTCAAAGAAGATGCCTCGGCCCGGCCGCAACACGTATAGCGACCAAAAGCCGCCCTACTCGTACATCTCGCTGACCGCCATGGCCATCCAGAGCTCGCCGGAGAAGATGCTGCCGTTGAGCGAGATCTACAAGTTCATCATGGACCGCTTCCCCTACTACCGGGAGAACACGCAGCGCTGGCAAAACAGCCTGCGCCACAACCTCTCTTTCAACGACTGCTTCATCAAGATCCCGCGGCGGCCAGACCAGCCAGGCAAGGGTAGCTTCTGGGCCCTGCACCCCAGCTGCGGGGATATGTTCGAGAACGGCAGCTTCCTGCGGCGCCGCAAGCGCTTCAAGGTGCTCAAGTCCGACCACCTGGCGCCCAGCAAACCAGCCGACGCCGCGCAGTATCTGCAGCAGCAGGCCAAGCTGCGCCTCAGCGCGCTTGCGGCCTCCGGCACGCACCTGCCACAGATGCCCGCCGCCGCCTACAACCTGGGCGGCGTGGCGCAGCCCTCGGGCTTCAAGCACCCCTTCGCCATCGAGAATATCATCGCTCGCGAGTACAAGATGCCTGGGGGGCTGGCCTTCTCCGCCATGCAGCCAGTGCCCGCCGCCTACCCGCTCCCCAACCAGTTGACTACCATGAGCAGCTCGCTGGGCACTGGCTGGCCACACGTGTACGGTTCCGCAGGCATGATCGAGTCAGCCACCCCTATCTCCATGGCTAGTGGCGATTACAGCGCCTACGGCGTACCACTGAAGCCACTGTGCCACGCAGCAGGCCAGACGCTGCCCGCAATCCCGGTACCCATCAAGCCCACACCGGCCGCAGTGCCCGCGCTGCCCGCGTTGCCCGCGCCCATCCCCACCTTGCTCTCGAACTCTCCGCCCTCGCTCAGCCCCACGTCCTCGCAAACAGCCACCAGCCAAAGCAGCCCCGCCACTCCCAGTGAAACGCTCACCAGCCCGGCCTCCGCCTTGCACTCGGTGGCGGTGCACTGACCCGCAGCAGCCTGAGCCCCCTCTTGTCCCTCTCCCCGCCAGCTTATTCGCCTTCCCCGCCTCCCAGCCCTGCCCTCCCCCACCTAGAACTGCCACCCAAACTTGTCCATTTCATCTTCGGCCAACCCTCTCTCCCCCAGGAGAACTTTGTTTTGGACCCAGGAGACAAAACACAAACTTGCAGATGGCCTGGAGGCGCGTGGGAGCTGTCTTTGCCTCCACAAGAGGGGAAGGCAGGGGGCACCTGAGCCAAGCCCTCCGATTCCCGGGGCCCCCCGAAACCCCCTCCCATTTAAGAAGCAGGGGAAATCCTGCCTCCCGCCTTCGCGGAGAGGAGCGCGTCTTCCCTCGGCCCGGATCCGCGGGCCTCCGGACTCCGCGCAGTTAGTTCCAAGACAAGAGAAACCACCTCAGAGGTTTCCTCGAACAGATCTCCCCTGAAGGCTGCAGCTGCACCGCGGTGGGCCGGATCTCGTTTACGTCTTGGAAATCTGCCGGGAAAAGGGACCACTAATCTTCCTACCCCACTCGCCTCCGCCCATCCGGCAGGGGCTGGGCTGACCACAGCTTCCCGGAGTAGCGGCCCTGCCTCCCCAGCTTCTGCGGAGTTGTTTTGTTTTGTTTTGGGTTTTGTTTCCTGCTAGAGGCTCCAGGCACTGGGACTTAGGGGAGAGGCTGCCAAACTGAGAAGCGGACGCTTGTTCTCAACACGAACAAAACAAAAGTAAAAGTAACCTTGTAGTATTGTTTACAAAGACGCCCGGTAAAATGTAAACAGTGAACTTGAATCTGTATTGCTTGGCGGGCGAGCGGGCAAAGCCCACTTCACAAGTACCTGTTGTAATGTGAATGTTTACTCTTCATTTCTGGCCAGGTTTAGGGGAGGGAAGGGGGATGGGAAAGTTAATTGGGGTGTTAACTTTCCGATTACTTAGAGACCTTTTAGCTATTTATTTTATTGTTGGAAGGAAAAAAAAAAAAAGAAAATGAAATAAGCCCAAACTAAGAAAGCATCAAGGGCAACCCTGGAAGAACTTAGATAGCTGACTGGTAACATGAAGGAGATGTCACCGGATAGGTCTCCCATGGACAAGTCTTTCTGTTTGCTACAAGAACTTTCCCAAGAAGCTAAAAGGGCTGCAAAGAGATGTAAATGATTGTGAATAGGAATGATTATACACTGTGTAAAATGCACTTTTGTTTGCTATATTCCTTTAGAGTCTTAGGTAATTTGCTGGAAAACGAACTGTTGTTCTGGTGTGACCTGCTTAAGTTAAAAAAAGTTGTAGTGTCATCAGGGCTGTAAAATTTTTACCTTTCATTTTTCTCCTGCCCTGTTCAGAATTAGCATGGCATTTTAAATATTGATGTTCTTGTTCCCAGCATGCCTGTTTTAAGACAAAGAATTTTAAAAAGGTGTCTACATTAAATTATGAATCTAGTCCAAATAATATTTTCTCATTAAAATATGTAAATCCAAATTTTAGTTTTGTGTGTTTTTGAAGAGTTGCTGCAAACAATAACTTTACAAAAGACAGATGTAGTGCTTCTCTAAGCATGCTTTTTATAATACATTGTCTGAACAGTTAGTCTCTTTCATATCTTATTTTTAAAATAGTCAAATCTCTTCTTATGCACTTGCAGACTGGGGGAGAAATGATTCAAATGGACTCCTGAAGCAGAAGGAAAGAGGAAACTATTTCTAGAATAGATCAGGTGCACAGGTGTAGTGCTGAAAAACTGTTGTTAAAAATCGCAATACTTTCTATGTATTTTTGTCTATCTTAAAATTTACATTTTACAAAATATACTGAATGTAAGGTTTATGTAGAAATCAGATAAGAGGCTATATGTAGATATAAAAAGTAAAAACAGACCTGTTTACTCAGTGCTCCTATTCTGATGCATCTTATTTAGAGTATTCATTTCCTTGCTCCTTTAAATTATTTCAGTTGTGGAAGTTTTCTTTTTCAGAAGTTACCTAGAAGTTCACCTTGCATGTCAAGAAACCTGTTCACTTTGGATAGAACAGATTTCTTTTCACTCCTTCATGTGGGAAAATAATGCTCGATGCATTTATTTTAAGAAAGTGAATGAAGTTAATTTAAATGCTTAACTCTAAGTATTTGCTTTTGTTCAGATTTTTGCAGAGAATTACAATTTGCCAAGGATTTATGGCTCAAGGCCAACTGAAACTTTACTGAAGGGGTCACAATATTTCCAGAGCAAGGTGTGTATTCAACTAATGAAGTTACAAGACAAAGAAAAACTTAAATGGTGATTAACACTTTACTGTGTAATATGATTAAACAAAGACCTTTGTGCAGTACAGAGAAACCCACACAAAAATCATGATCACTATACTCCATAAGGAGAATCCTTAGCACCTGCGACCCTTACATATTTAGAGGGTTATCTGGAAAAAAAAATTAGGATTAATGCAAAGGGTAATTAATCCTGTTGTGACCATTTTTTAAAAGGAAGGATCCCACACACAGCCAAAAAAAAAAAAAGTGGAAAATAAATGAATCATTGGACTGATTAAAATGCATGAAGCTACTAAAGCTCGTCAGACAGGGGACAACTAAACTCATTCATCAAGTCCAATTCACAATTATATCAACAAGATCAGCAAAAGAAAGCCTGGAAAACTTATCCACCCCCAGCTAGGAAACTCTTGAAACTTTGGTCTCAACAAGACATCATCTACATTTAAAAAATTAAATACATTGTCATCATTTCCTGAAAAATAAAATGAAGGCCATTTCTGGAATATTCTAATCTCACTGAATTTACTAACACTGAATTCAAACTGGGAATGAAGGGCTAACGAGGGCCTTAAACATTTTATAAATTATCAGCTTAGATAATCAGGTAGAATACTTATCCTATAATAGGCAGGAGAATGTATATATATATATAAAGGCACACATACATACACTTAATAAATGGGGGTAAGATGCAGATGCTATTTCTGATTTTTAGCAAAGGAATAATTTCAACTCACTATCTGAAAATGTTCTTTTCAGCTAGTAAGCTCGTCATGGTGTATTGCAAAGAATGAAATAACTTGGGCACTGGGAGCCCTCCTTTTACAACTGCAGACATCTTTGCTCAGACAAAGTTGAATGAGTAAAGTAAAAAATCCACTGATATTTTGACCTTGATCAGAAATCCAAAGGCAGTCCAAAGAACACGTCTCCACCCTGCTCCATCCCCAGCTTTGAGACTTCTGCCCTGTTTAGCTGAAGTGCCCCCACAAACAAGGAAGTTTATAACTATGATACCTTCAATGGCTCTCTTTGTCATGTTAAATCTTTTCACCTGGCTCAAGTCCAAAGTCAATACACAGAGCTTTAAAATAAAACTGGAAGAGACAACACCATGCAGTGAGGTGTACATTTGGGGGTCTTATCCTGAAGATCCAGTTAACTTATATTTCCTATTTTGCAAATTTAGGCCTTTTTAAAATTTAGGTTTTTGATTTGGAAACTTGGCTGTCCTGTTACTTTTGGTTTTTAACATGATTCTGTACTCGACCGTGTTTTTTAAATGGCCTTCTCTGTGATTGGGGGAAATGCTTACACAATGGATGAATTTTTTACACTTTCTCAAGAGAGAAGCTGCAGAAATTCTCACTGTTCCTGTTGCCTGAGTTGGGGATTTTGAGAAGCCTGAAGACTAGCAGGAGCATTGCTAGTAAATGATCCTTAGAATGGCTTAAATATTACAGCAGTGAGTTTAATTCCTTTAATAGATGAGAACATTGAGTGTCCTGGAAGCATAAATCTGGCCAGGTGCTGGAATGGGGTGAAGTTGAGGAGTGGGTGGGAGGAAGAAGCCAATGGAGTGCCGCAAACAGAAGGTTTTACGTTAGTGTATGCAAGGTTGGGGTGGGGGCATAGTTTATATATTTACCAATGAAAACTCCCTTTTTAAAAGGTATCCATTTAAGAAATGAAAAGGATCAGGATCTGCTCTCAAATTCTTAATATAAATGTCAATTAATTTTTTTTTCCTGAAGCCACATATGCACAGAGACACCCAAACAAAAACAAAACAAAAACAACCCAACCCACCGGCTGTGAAGCCTCAAAGGGGATGCATTTGTTTCGTTTAAACTAACAACAAATTATCTAATTAATATGTTTCAATTACAGCATGAAAGGCACAGCCCCTGGACCGCCCGCCGTGGGGGCACAATAGCCTCAGAGCCCACTCTAGGAATTTACAATAACGTCACATCTGTTTCTTTATTTTCCACTTTTTGAGTCTAAAACTCCTCTCAAGATCACTTCAAACCACAGCCTGAGTTATGAAATATGTCCCAGTGTTAAAGGGGGATGAAACTTTGCCCACGGATGCTTCATTTGCAAGCAAAAAAGTGAAAGCCCATTGAAGAGCATTAAACAAATATATTAGAATTCTGTCACTTTATGCAATTGAGTAGATCAAATGAAGGGTCCCGGCCACTTCATTCACTCTCATTCACTCGAATAGAAAATGCAAAGAATAGCAACCCGAGACTGGGCCACCGATGTAGATTTAGCTCCTTTTTACTGGGAGACAAAAAGGCTGAATTTTCACAAACACATTGCTGACTCGGGGACTAGGAAACCGGCACTGGAACCCCTTTGGAATTTAAATTCATTTTATCTTCCTCTCTCTTTGCGGAGATCTGTTTGCACTACAGTGCAAGATGCAGCAGGCATCCTTTGGCTTCTGAAAAAATGGGGGAGGGGAAGAAAGTGAGGGGGGTGGTGATGTGGGCCTCAGGATTCCCAAGAAGCTCTTTGGTGGTCAAGGAATACTCAGGTCTGAGATAACTCTAAATAAATCTTTATTTACATCAATATAAGCATCATTATATCACACATATCTCCAAGTCTCTTACCTCCTTGCTTGACATAGATTACATAAAACAGTTTGTTTTCAAAGACCTGAATTGCATCTGGGTCAACTGTTTTCTTCAACTAGTATCTGGTCAGTGATATTACAAC